AAGTGGTCCACCCTAGTTATTTTCATTTATGCTGCGTACTCGTTCTAGTAGAAACGTCAGTGTCGAGTACGCGGACGCGACCAATAATTTAATATTCTACCAATTAGTAGCGATGCGAGGAAGCAGGCGCCTAAACCGGCCCACACTACACCGCCGTGCCGCTCTGCTCGCGGGACCCTTTATTTGGTACAATGTGCCGCGCATTGTTATGCCCGACTCGACGTGACTACTACAATTTTTATGTGGGCGACCGACAAACCTATCTGTGTTACGAATGTTTAGTTCTGACATAGAATAAAGTTATTGATGACCCTCATTGTACGTATAAAAGAAACAAGATTGAAGCTTGAGACACAAACCATTATTGGTAACTTTGAAAGATACTTTGGGTGCTGCTAGCGGAGATGAGTCTGCCCTAACTACTTTGATATTTATGATGTAAATGTTTAATTACACCTATTATAAATAAGTCTATTTGTATTTACACTGTGTGACACAGCAATCAAAATGCAGGTGAACAATTAATGTATAATTTCACATTATGTAATGAAAGGTGACTTCATGAATCATCTCTGAAGTCATTTTTCAACTTGACGACTATGTAAATGATAAAACAGGGAGAAAAAAACAGCCCTTACTGAGTTTCTTGCCAATTCTTCTCAGTACAAGGTCTCCCGCCGTAGATTTACGAACTGATGGCTTAGCTTCTAGACATTCATATGTGCTTGTAACAGCCTAAACTGAATAAATGATTTTGATTATTATGTGCTAATAAAATCATGTATATAGAAAACACATATAGTTCTCTCAGAAGAACTTTAAAAATATGTGTAGTGATATAATATATTCATCTTGAATCATTGAATAGTCTAAAACCTGCCTGCTAGTGACGACGTAGCGATACCATACATATAGCGTTAAAAAAGATCACGAGAGAAATAGTGAGACAGTAATCTTGTCTGTGCTTCAAGTTAAAACCAATGGGAATTCCTCTGATGCCAAAATTAACTATCGTAAAAAAAATGTCCAGCGGCAAGCCAGGATGATGTAAGAATTCTAACTATAGGTACCCTACATATTCAGAAGTTTTGATAGAATAAATAAAACACCCTGAAATTACACTTTTTTGTAGCCAATCATGTAAAAAGCGTTATATATATAAAACTCAAAGGTGACTGACTGACATAGTGATCTATCAACGCACAGCCCAAACCACTGGACGGATCGGGCTGAAATTTGGCATGCAGGTAGATGTTATGACGTAAGCATGCGCTAAGAAAGGATTTTGATCAATTCTACCCCCAAGGGGATAAAATTGGGAATGAAAGTTTGTATGAAACTTTGTCAATTTTAAACCGATTGGGCTGAGACTTTGCATGCAGGTATAAGAAGAATCATAGATGAATATCATTGTGTATAATACAAGCCTGAGAACAAAAACTGTAGTCTACACTTCAGCACTACACCGAAGCGAAGCGAGGGTGGGCCGCTAGTTAAAAAGTAAAGCTTATTGATTAGTAGGTATAATCATTATTTCACTAAAAATTTTATTTCCATTAGGATCATAACCGTCAAACTATCGGCCTATGCTCACTGTAATACCGCAAAAAGTTCATGTTCGTAAACTTTTATGATCACGCAATATTGCTTTCTGCCGGGCGCGACCCTCACTCGGTATTAGAACTACTCCAATACAAATAGATTCTATTCAACCGCACTAAGCTTTTATATTATTTACAGTACCTCATCTAAACAAGACACAATGATAAATTGTAGAACTCTTCATAATGACATGAAGGTATTCAGGGAAATTCCCTGGCTCCCTCATCATACAGAGTCATTAATAACAGGGTATTTTCCAAGAGATATACTGCGGTACATTTAACTGGCGGAACCGCGGAATTATCATGAGAGGTTTTGGAAACACGAGAGGGGCGAGATATAGTGTTGCGAAGTATTTCAAAGAAAGTAGGCCGTAATTCCTTTCACATTAGGTTTTGCGTACGTAAGGCTAGTCTTGCTAGCCCTGTATTTAGGCAAAGTATAAAATCTTGCCTTTATCTATTTTAGTGAAAAGGAAAATTATATGTACATACATATTTAGGCACAGAAAAATCTATAAATATAAAACTCAAAGGTGACTGACTGACTGACATAGTTATCTATCAACGCACAGCCCAAACCACTGGACGGATCGGACTGAAATTTGACATGCAGGTAGATGTTATGACGTAGGCATCCGCTAAGAAAGGATTTTGGTCAATTCTATCCCCAAGGGGATAAAATAGGAAATGAAAGTTTGTATAAAACTTTGTCAATTTTAAACCGATCGGGCTGAGACTTTGCATGCAGGTATAAGAAGAATCATAGATGAATGTCATTGTGTATAATACAAGCCTGAGAACAAAAACTGCAGTCTACACTTCAGCTCTACACCGAAGCGAAGCGAGGGCGGACCACAAGTTAATTTATAAAAAACAGAAAATAGAAATACTTTGCTGTTATTTATTCAAATAACTATTATAAATAAATTCTCTTATTTATTAATCTAACTAATCTAACCTGCATGCCAAATTTCAGCCCAATCTGTCCAGTGGTTTGGGCTGTCCGTTGATAGATCACTATGTCAGTCAGTCAATCACCTTTGAGTTTTATATATATATAGATAGATAGATTACAGTGGAAAAACTGTTTAGTATGTTAATAGTTCGTTCAGGAGAATCAGATAGATTTTTTCCCGTTTCTTTATTCAGTACTTTCTCGCCAAACTTTACGATTCTAGATCAACGGGAAGTACCCTGGTTTTGATTTCCTTACGAGGGTCAAAATATGCGCTACAAAATGCGTGTAAACGGCCGGACCTAACTTTTCACTGCAATGACTAATAATTTTGATTATTTCCACTGTTCCAATGAATAGGGTATTTGACAGTGTTAAAAATAAAGTGCCAATTGTAAGCATCTGTGTTTAGAATGAATATTGGCAGGGTTTTTACTATTTTTACAAAAAGAATATTCATAATTTTACTAAAAGCTAACGAAAAAGGTTTCTTATCTTTTGTCACGTGACCCAAAACGCTTGGGATTGGCGGAGCCTAAAATGACGTCACACGCAAGTAAACTTCCTGTTAAAGTGACATTACATTGTATCGTTTGACGTTTTAATATCAGTCGTGCTACGTCACACACTAGTAAGACGCCATATTGTCCAGAAAAACGTTAATTATTCAAAATCGAGGTTTTGATTTGGTTATTTTTACTAAAATACACAACAGGGGGCCAATCGCCTAACGGAAATGCTTTGGGAAACGCTAACGCTTACGATTTTATGTTGTTATTTCTAGCCACCTGAGGTTTTCGAATACCTCACGCTCATTTTTTTTTAATATTGTTATTACCAATGCAAAAGAAAAAGAAAGAGTGCGAGGCATTCCAATACCTCAGGCGGCTAGAAATAACAAAATAAAATCGTAAGCGTTAGCGTTTTCCAAAGCATTTCCGTTAGGCGATTGGCCCCCAGAATGATGAATATCGACTTTTTGCGGACTCCATAAGCATTAGTCAATAACGTGAGATCGTTTTCTAAAACTTGTCAAATACCCTATTGCCAAGGTTTCTAGACACGAGTACTTGATATTAAATTCAGCTTGTTTCGTCCATGCGTTCCTGAGAAAAATGAGCGTATACAGCTGTACCAATCTTTCTATTGCATATCATATCATTTATTAAGAAGTTTTTTTCGCTGTTGCAAAGGCTTGCAGACCTGTGCACTTGGCATTATTATGATGCGTGATGTTCCTGAGAAAAAGTATTTTGACAGCGATCCTATAAGTGTTTAATTTCCCATCCTTCTTGATAAAAAGTAACTCTGAAATGGCTGCTCCTATAAATTCGATCTTGTAATGTTAAAAGTTTAGTAAACAAGCATATGTCCAGCCGGTTTTTTTTAAGTATGAGTTTTGATCCTAAGAGGACCTCAAGCCGAGAATAGGCGAGTGCCTCAAGAGGTATTCCAGGCGGATGGCATCTCCCCTCGGGGGGAGTCTCCTCTCCGTCTGGAGCCTATAGACTACTCGAACCTGAGGGTATGGGGGTCTTCAGCTTGATGGTAAACGGCCACCTATCTTTATTTCTTTTTCAATTCTATTACCATCCAATGGATCAAGGGACACAGTGGATCATGCGGAAACGACGCTGCGGATGAGCTGGCCCGGAAGGGATCTGATACGACCCCAACAGGTCCCGAACCAATCGTCCCGATACCGGTAAGCTATCTCGTCAATAAAATCCGCAAGCACACTGCCGCACTACACCAGCAACACTGGCTCGATATGGAGATGTGCAGACAGACCAAGCTCGCTTTGCCACGGGTTAACGCTGCCTTCTCCAAAACTCTCCTACAGCTAAGCAAACCTACATAGCGCATGGTAACATCTTCACGTCTGGACTTCACCATGACTTCACACAAACGCTCTCGAAACGTAACCGCGAAAGTGCCAAAGATCGAATTTGCCAGATCACCGGGGGTCGCGATAGAGGTCGAGTAATGCGGCTCATTCTAAAATGAGCCTTATGCAGTGCGTCGTAAGGGTGAAAGTGCAACGACATCTGCACTTGTTTACAAGTTATGCGTGTTACCTGCGTAGGTATAAGTAGGTATTTCGTACTCGCGGGTGCTAGGTAATTCTCAATCTAACAGGTACTTTCTGGAATGCGTCGATCGGCGTATATAAGCGCGATTGGCGCCGCGCAGAGTCAGTTGAGTTTCAACAGCGATTTCGGAGCGAATCCAAAGGCGATCAAAGTGCAACAAAAGTGTTCAAGTGAGATTGTTTAGAGACTTGTATAGTGAAACACAGTGTTTAGTGAGTGTTTTGTAATTAACATTGTGTGTTAATTGTGTGAACTGTGTGGTGAATAAAGAACTGTCAAGCGTGAACTGGCATATAAATTCGAACTCCATCCCGACACGTAACAATATAAAAAAAATGTTGTAGTTACCTTCGATGCTGAGCTGGATGGAGTAGGTCTGCTCGGTGCCGGCTCCGTTGGTGATCTCGCAAGTGTAGGTGCCCTCGTCTTCATAATTGGGGTACTTGATCACCAGCGTCTTGCCGTAGTTGTCCTGCGCGATCCCTTGGGATGACGGGATGGCCTGACCGTTCTTCTTCCACACCACGTGCGGGAGTGGCCTACGAAACCATATATATTTACAGCGGCACTCAAGAACTCAAATCCATGCATGCAATCTCAAGCTTGATTCGCGCTGATTGTTGAAGTTAAGCAACTTTCGCCATGGTCAGTTATTGGATGGGTGAGCAAAAATTTACTATCTTGAGCTCGTCCGCGCTTCGGAAGGCACGTTATTAGCACCCACCAAACTGCACTGGACACGCATGGTGGGTCATGGTCTAATCTACCTATTTCATCCATAGGGAAGGCCTGTGCCCCAGCATTGAGGACATTCATAGACGGATGATGGTGAATCTTAAGCAATAAGCTTTATGAATTCACGTTTTGCCTCATTCTGTAGTTATGAAGAAAAAGACAGCATCAGCAAGTTAATTGACTTCTCCGAGTGTGGTTGTTAGCCTACATAAAGGTTATAGCACGGTAATATTATCTATACAGTATTCTATCTTCATACAAACGGTCGGAAAGCGTGTCATACCTACGCCACTCGAGTTCGCGCGTTGGAAAAAAATTTACCGTCACATTTTTATTCGGTTACGCGTCACGTTTTTTGGTTACGCGCCATCTTTTTTTTAAAAGAGCACTATTTACCTCATCCGAACAATTGCTTCTTCTGTCAACTTTAAAAAAAAAAGTATCGACAGCAAATATTCGTGTTTCACACAAGGTAAGGTAAGGTAAGGTAAGGTAAGGTAAGGTAAGGTAAGGTAAGGTAAGGTAAGGTAAGGTAAGGTAAGGTAAGGTAAGGTGTAGTTATACCCCTTTAGTGGGTGAGTTTTTGAAAAATCTCAGCGCACGCCTATATATATATTTCTGGAAAGTTGCATGTAGATCATTTTTCGAAAAAAATAAGGCCATAAAGAAGTTTCACTTCTTACGTGTGTACACTAGTACACGCACACATTTTTTTTTTTGTTTATATTTATAGTATTTTTATTATGTCAGATGGCCAATAAAGGTTTTTCATTTCAAAGGTTTTCATTTCATAATACTCACGTGCCACCGTAGATACAATAAAGCTCCACCCTTTTCCCTTTGAGCCCCTTCTCCACCCGCCTGGTGGTGTACTGTCGCACGGGTTCGTGCTGGTTCAGTCCCGGCGCCGTGCCTGCAGGCTTCACTTGCAAATACACCTTGTTGCCTAGCTTGTACTCATTCCTGAAGATGGATTTAGCAGCGCAAGTGTACGCGTAATCCTCGCTCGCGTCATATCGCGTCACGTTCGAAAACCACAAATTGCCTTCCGGATCGAGGGTCATGCGGGAGTTGTTGATCGTTTTCAGTTGGCCCTGTTCGCCTTGCAACATCCAGTAGACTTTGGGGCTGGGATGACCGTCGGGAGGTTCGCAGGTGAGTTTGAACGGTTTCCCCTCCTCGGCGGTGATGGTTAGCTGCGGGCCATCGGTCTCCTTGAAGGAGTTGAGCTCCGCTTTGCGCACGAAGACGGAGTTGGAGGTGGCGGTGCCCCATTCGTTCTCGGCGAAGCACTGGTACTGGCCGAGGTCCTCATCGCGAGGCTGGCTCACCACAAGCGTGCCGCGCCCCGGCTGCTGGGATATGCGGTTGTCGTAACTCGTATACTCGAACGGCTTGCCGTTCTTGATCCATCTGTACCTGTTGTGACAATAAAAAAAATGACAAAGAAAGAAGTTAAGAATGTGAAAATAAAACAATATTCAAAGAAATAAGTAAACAATGATTTGACGACCTCCGTGGCCGATTGGTTTGTACGCCGGGTTTCATGGTGTCTCCGACTCTAGAGGTCCTGGGTTCTAATCCATGCATTTGTACTCCAGTCATGGATGTTTAATACGTATTTCTATATAAATATACTTATATATGTACAATATATGTATTCTATCCGTTACCCTAGCATCCCATAACACAAGCCTTACAGTGCTTACTTTGGGGCTAGGCTAATTGGAGTGTGATGGAAAAAAAATGAGATCGTTACGGATGGAGGAATAAAACAAATAAATCTTGCTCAACAGTTTACTCTGATACTGAAATAAATAGCTAAGATTCTTTCTATAGGCGACAAGCTAGCTAGAAGCTATGCAACCACCTAATTAGGCGCGTGTGATTAACTGCGAGTGTCAACGATAATAAATACCCAAGATACACCACGTCCGCTCAAAATGTGTCCCAATCAAGAAGTGCTTGAACTCCACTCAAGCACTTCTTGTTCACAGTCACGCGCGGTTCGTTGTAAAGTCAACATGCCGCAGAGCTCTCTAAGATAATGCGAAAGAAATACTTGTAGTATGTACACCTGCAGTGCAGTTTTTCGACAGGCATTTAATCAATGATTATGAATTTAACTCATTTGAAGAAGTTTTGTTGTAATACTTACTTTAAACTGATTTAATATAAATTATTTGTGATATTCAAATGCATGGTTGGTTATAGCCGTCTCTTTTCCTCGCGGTTCGTAGCTGCTATATTTATAAAAGCGCATTCAGAATTGCGCCTAGAGTCAAAGAAATAAGGTCTATATTCTTCCGCATATAGCATTAAGTCGTAAAATTTGACAAGTTTGCGTTTCGGAGTGTCATAACTCTTTGACGCATGCCTTTTAATTAAGACCTTATACAGTAAGCATTAAAGGTGACTTTCAATGTTTAAATAATGTCTTATATTGTTTTCGACAACGCGATCATCTTACAGAGCTCCGTGGATCGTCCAATGTACCTTTTGGACAGGTTTCGGGCACGATTTTGTTCGTGTTGGTGTATCTAGGATATTTAATATCGTTGGCTAGTGTGCGATATGTCCGTTCTCTAGTAGATTCGCTTTTAGTACTAAGCGAGGCTCTTTGTAGCCTAAGCCTCACGCACCTTCTATTATAATAATCGGATCCTTCCTACGAAGGAACATCACTCGGACCCGAGACAATATACTGTTCATAAACTTAGCCGGAGATCGAACCTAAGACCGCAACAGAGAGCGAAAACGCGGCATGTCTCTTAGCCGCAGAGGTCGTAAGATTAGTATAACGATTCTACAAAAAGTCAAGCCTTTAACACAGCTCTTATTATATAACCACCAAGTTTGCTGCAAATAGTTTCATTTCTAGAGCATGTCACAGCTATAATAAATACTTCAGGGTATTGGATATATTTTGCCTTTCTTACAATCAATTTAGAAATGAATGCTATAAGGTCGTTTTACCCTAACACTTAGTAATTATTTTCTTACCATAAATTTTGATTATCATGTTTATTCTATTCACATAACTCTAAATATTGTACGTTATTTCAAGTAAATTATGTAAGTGTATGAATGTTTCAGTCTGTGGAAACTTAACAGGTTTATGAAAAAGTAATGAGTGTTACTTAATTGAATTGTGTAAAACTGTATGTTTCCCAAATGAAAAATAAATAAATTTAAAGAGCTGTATTAATTCATGTCTGTAGTCATTTCCACGGCATTGAATATGGATGGTGTTCCAGAGTCAAAGGTCAAGGCTGCCCGACAGAACACAGAGGCAACATGACATAAGTATTACTAATAGATTACGAACAATTGACAAATAATTAGTATTACGTCCTGAAGTATTCAAATTAATTATCACTTATTCGGTCTAGGCTGTTACAAGCACTTGTGAATGTCGAAAAGCTACGCCATCGGTTCGCTTATCTACGGCAGAAACCTTGTACTGAGAGGAACCGGCAAGAAACTCAGCAAGGGCTGTTTTCTTCTCCCTGCATTATATATAGTCGTCAAAGTGAAAAATGACTTCAATATGAGATAACTCATTAAGTCACTTTCTATACAAAATATTATTTATACTGTTTCGTTAACTAATAATAATTTATGTCACAAGAGTCATTAATTTCCTGAATGGAACTCGTAATTGACTAATGAATTACTTAATTAGGTATGAACGAAGCAAACAATATCTATTAGAGAACAATTTTATTCCGTCAAAGGATGTGCTGAATCAGTTTTCGTAATTTAATTAAGCCTCAATCTACATTTAATTATAGACATGAGATCATTTAGGTCTCAGCCATCATAAAACGCGTAGATATATTAAATTTTTATATTTATAAAACTTGACGGCTTGTACTCTTTCCGATTAACATAATTAAAACACTGAAATATTGGTCGTCTACAAAATAACTTTTAAAAACAAGACACTTGCATCGTTAAAGATGCTACTATGTACGCTGATCACTAACTGTACCCTTAGTACGAGTTTTACAATTACGAAAACTATAAATGCGATTCAAATAAGAATAGGAAAGCCAATGACCTCCATATGTCAAATGACTCTTGAAAAGTACGGTTTGCAAAAAATCTTGGAACTCTTTTTTAGCACTCAGCTAATTCTAGAACAAAAAAACCAAACATTTGTAAACAAACATGACGACGATGACAACTCCGGTAGTTATGCAGAGCTGAGCGGAATTGAAGAGCTAGATTCCGATTAATATTTTTACTCACACAGTCATAAATGTTATTAAAAATCGGTGGTTTTTTTTCTCACTTAAACTTAATAAATAAGTTTTATTAAAAAAAAAAACCTTATGTTTTTTCTCACTTAATCTTAGTAAATAAGTTTTATCGAAGAAGACTTTTATTGCTCACCCTACCTATTTTGTTTCAATTGACAGCTTTGACATCACAAAATGGCGCCCAGTCGATCCTAATCTTAGTTGAATCGCATTATATGATAGTTTTCGTGAGCTCGCACTTGTGTTAAGGGTACTGATTTTATTGTTTTCATTTCAATACAAATAAACACTGTTTAAATTCTATCATTAAATCATTTGCGTCTTCTTAAATTTTAAGTAGGTATATTTGGTTACTTTTCACCATAAATGGACATAGAAACATAATTTACAATTACGAAATCTATGACAGTTTTTGTGAGCTCAAACTTGTACTAAGGCTACTGAAAAGGTTAATAATACGAAAATGTGAATAATCTTTTTTTTATCTTAAAAAGTTTAAAATACCAACTTAAAGGAAGGAAGGTCAGGTTGATAGAATCTAAGGATCACGTCACCTCGGTAGTTTGTTAAATGAAATAAATAGAGAAATTATCAAATTATATAGATATTTAAATTCACCCAAGTACCACAAGTAGCAATTTAAAATATCACTTTTGGGTTGTAAGTATGCTTTCAACTTTTATGTTAACCTTGAACCGATGAATAGATGACAGCATGCACAAATACGTGTCAATGAAGTTTTATAATAGAATAATATTAATACTTCTATATGAGTATGGTAACAGGCCTCGAGATGAGTTCATTGAGTCACGGCCGATCCAATGTTTGACTCATACTTGACTAACATAAATGTTGTAGTAAAATAAAAAGGTTTTAGGTATTCCGGGAAGATTTTAATGCAATCTGAACAATACAAATAGTAATTATTTTAATGCAATCTGGAAAAAATAGTAATTATTTTAAAAAAAATGCAGTTGTAAACGAGACTTTCAGTAGCTACGAGAGTGAACGACAGCAAAAAAACCATGAAAGAGTATTTTTATCGTATATAAAAGAGTTGTATTTAAATGCTTCAAATTTGAATAATAAAAATTTTACTTTTGAATTTTTTGATTCCATTTAAGTTTACCCATTAGGCAGACCGCACACCAGACATATAATAAAATTGTATTACGATAATTGTGGCGGCACATTAGAAACGCGACACATTTAACGCCCTCATATATCAGTACTCTTAGTATGAGTTTGAGCTTACGAAAACTAACATAGTTTTCGTAATTGTAAATTATGTTTCTATGTCCATTTTGATGAAAAGTAACCAAATATACTTAAAATTTAAGAAGACGCAAATGATTTAATGATAGAATTTAAACACTGTTTATTTGTATTGAAACTAAAACAATAAAATCAGTACCCTTAATACGACTGCGAGCTCACGAAAACTATCAGTTTTCGTAATTGTAAAACTCGTACTCAGGGTTATGTACCCTTTGCACGAACCATTATCGAATACGAATAGTTTGCGAGTACGAAATGTCAATGTCAAATGTGTACTGATTTTTAGTTCTCTCGTTGTCTCTCACGTACACTCGCGGAAAGACCCGCTTTGTCACCCATAATGCCATAATCGCTTGCGGTAGCGGCGTAGTAAAAATTCATTCATAGACATGTAATTATCGCTGTCTTACTTTTTCGTATAGCGCTGTCGCGATCACGATGCGGATGACAAATTGCAACTAAAACAAATGCAATTCAATTCATTATTCAATCAATGAAATGCTCTCTGTCTTACTTTTGTGCGGCGGCCCGGATTGGCGCGTCCGACGCGAAGGCGGGGCGTAGTAAAAACTACTGTAGAAAACCGTTCAATGCATTTTGTTCGCCAAGTGACAGAGCGCAAAAATCCGCGATAGTACGTTATGGCGCTGCTGTTCAAGTTTCCATACAAAATTTGACAATGACATTTCGGACTCGCAAACTATTCGAATTCGATAATGGTTCGTGCTAAGGGCACTGCTTGCAAGCACGCACACCTAGGACACATTTGTAGCGGGTGCATTTAGTAGCGAGCCGAGAGCAAAAATATAGCGTGCATATTGTGGCAAGGTAAATGTTGCGTTCATGTTTGTACCTTGTGGCTCCGGTGTGCGGTCTCACTTATACATTTAAAAAATTTTTCATTATTCGTGCAAGCCTTTCCTTGTGTGTAACGTACTGGTGGTAAGTATGTACGAACGCAAAGGTTCTTGACCCAAAACAAACAATATTTTTATTACGTGGCGGTGCAATGAATACCGTTATATTAACATCATATAAATATAATATATATAAATATATATTAACAGGAATACTTGTTCCGGTAAGTGGGACAATTAGCAGTTTAAGTTTGTTTCACCCAACTTATAAATAGTAAAATACCACAGATACAGATCAATCAAAAAAATTGCACAACACTTCGGTGCGAGACCGTTAATAAATTAACTAATCTAAAGAAAATATAACTAGAAAAAATTCCACGCGGACCAGGCAGCAGACGAGACTTGAACCCGCACCCTTCGCAATCCGGGCGAATGCACTGACCAATTATGCTACCGCGGCCCTCACGGACCGCGTCGAAATTCTTCTAGCATTTTAAACATCAAGTAGTTACATGCTTTAAAATAATAAAAATTATAACTATAATTGCTATTTCTTCTTTCAAATGTTTAATACTTGTAAAAGTATTCATTTGACATTGTGGGTTACCTATAATGCGAAGAGATGGCGCTGCCTTGCAGCTTAAGAATGGCTAGAAGAATTTCGACGCGGTCCGTGAGGGCCGCGGTAGCCTAATTGGTCAGTGCATTCGCCCGGATTGCGAAGGGTGCGGGTTCAAGTCCCGTCTGCTGCCTGGTCCGCGTGGAATTTTTTCTAGTTATATTTTCTTTAGATTTAAACATCAAGCAGTTACATGCTTTAAAATAATAAAAATTATAAATTAACTAATTATAAAAAAAACTTGCGCTGCAATGTGATCATCTATGACGTGATATTGAACGTTAATATGTGACTACATACTATAAATAGACGGTGCAATCAGAGTCCATTTCGATTTCATTTCAATAGGCGCAGCGAAAAGTCGACGGCCTTTATAACGTTATAAGGCAGGTCAGTCAACAGAGGTTACGTCAAACTTACAGTAGTTATGCTTATACGCCTGATAAACTAAAATTTATATTGAAGACCCACATGGATGGTAATTAGCTGTTTTAATAAGTCCATGTGAATTACGCTAATGAGAAATTAATAATAAACATGTTAATTAATAATCCCAACCATATGTTAGTTATTCTCCTATTCTTTGAACCCAGTTTGTCGATGCTTCATAGATATATTTATAGTAAAACTAATGACACGCACGACTTTGCTACGCTTTAGTGTAAATTAAAAATTCGACCCTTGGCATACACATTGCGCTATGTATATCTGGGGAAGCTACCCCATGCCTGCATGCACGAGTAACTGCTTGATGTTTAAATCTAAAGAAAATATAACTAGAAAAAATTCCACGCGGACCAGGCAGCAGACGGGACTCGAACCCGCACCCTTCGCAATCCGGGCGAATGCACTGACCAATTATGCTACCGCGGCCCTAACGGCCGCGTCGAAATTCTTCTAGCCATTCTTAAGCTGCAAGGCAACGCCATTTCTTCGCATTGTAGTTAACCCACAATGTCAAATGAATACTTTTAAAAATATTAAACATTTGAAAGAAGAAATAGCAATTACAGTTATAAATTTTATTTTTCTGCCTTGCAGCTTAAGAATGACTAGGTGAATTTCGATGCGGCCGTTAGGGCTGCGGTAGCATAATTGGTCAGTGCATTCGCCCGGATTGCGATTTTTTTCTAGTTATATTTTCTTTAGATTGTAAATATTTACTCAATTTATAGCCAAATTAATAAAACGCATCTGTTCATATTTAGAATTTGATAAAAAGCTACACTCATAACCACTTATTATATTAGTTTTCTCATGTCTGTGGGGGTTCATGGCGCTGAATGCTGAAATACAGTACTCTTAGTACGAGTTTGAGCTCACGAAAACTATCATAGTTTTCGAATTGTAAATTATGTTTCTATGTCCATTTTGGTGAAAAGTAATCAAATATACTTAAAATTTAAGAAGACCCAAATGATTTAATGATAGAATATAAACACTGTTTATTTGTATTGAAACGAAAACGATAAAATCAGTACCAAGTGGAATATCATTGAATGGTATTCAAACAGAAGAACTTGATTGCTCGAACTTTAATAGGGAGTGTTCCAATCGTGATGCATTGTAAATATTACTTATTTCGATAACTATAACTTTTAATAAGCTTAAGATAATAATGAGAAAATAATATAGTTCGTCTTTCTGTAATTTCCATGTAAGTTGTGCACCCTACCACTTTTTATCCACAACACTCTATGGTTGACTGGTAGAGAATGCCCATGGCATTAAGTCCGTCGTTGTATACTTGTGCATTAAACATAAATAAATAAATAAAATAAATATATAGTTAAAAAACTCAAAATCAAGCTAAAATAATAAATTTGCTATTAAAATTTAACTAAAAATCAGGAAATAATGTTCAAAAATTGATATTTTCTTGACTAGCCGAAAACTGGATGAACGAAAGGAAAATTAATTCCTAAAAAAGTGTGGGGTGCTCAATATTGATTGTTGTAAATATATCAGTACTATATATTTATAAATAAATAGATAAGATGTAATATAGAAGTATCTATGTAAAAATATTTTTATAAATAGATATAATTTTATAAGTAGAGAAGTTATTATAATAAAAAGCAACATACCCTTTCAGTGAAAAAAAAAAACTTTTTAGAAAATTGTTATTTCAATTTCACACAGTCTAACTATTAGGGGATTGATGTAAGCACTTATATTTTGCAAATAGAACAGATTTTTAGAAAAAGTAATAGGTAGGTAACAAGAAATATCTATAACACAATTATGTTTAAAATAACGGTATTTTGCTTTAACACTCTTAATTTTGAACTTGTAACAGCTGTTACAAAAGCATGTAACACTTGTTGCACACTAAATTTAGCATTAAATTAGATGTATAGTAGGATAGTACCTAAAAATTTGTGTAAGAAACAACTCATTTCATTATTATTTAATTAAAGTGACACTAATTATATTTTTATCAAAATTTTGCTGTTTTACATTCATGCAAACCTCATTCATAAAATCAATATGCAAAATATATAATATCGGTTACACCTTATTTGACTAGGTTATTATACTGCGAAGTATATTATTATCTTAAATTTTGCTCAAATTATAATAAAAATACAATGTAAAGAGTACGTGTTTTGAGAATAAAATAAAAAAATATATATAACATGTTCAAGATCTCTCGCACACTCCCTTTCCATGGAATGCACCCTAAATGATATGGTGTAGAGGTTTATCATGAAGGTCTGACACAGATACACTTGTATTTTTTTTTTTTTGCTATCCTACTTAAATTGAAATCAAACCATAAACTTTTCTTTGCTATGATCTCATAAACATCATATGTAATAGTTGAACTTGGTTCAGCTGTCACACCTTCGACATATGACCAATTTGGGCCACTTTAGTAATACAAATATAAACACTATGCAACATCATAAGTTAATTGATGTATATACAAAAAATTAAATATGGATAATTACTCTGAATAAAATAACTACATTTGTAGAATTGTAACACAACATTGAAAAAATGTTTGCCAACTTAAACCAAATTTAAATCAAATAGAAATAATTCAATTATTGAATATTGTATCTTTTTTACTTCAAGTTTCAAAAAAAAAACAAAAAGAAACCTTGTAAGATTCTGTACAGAGAATGACAGAAAGAAAAACTGTTTAATTTTATGAGAATCATACCAGAATCAACACCAATACTTCATTTTGAGAAACAAAAGTAAAAGTGTTTTAAAATGAAATTGAAATATGCATTTATTCTTTCAAATCAAAAGTTTCTACTAATACATGAGAAAAGTTATATAAGTCACTCATTTCTCATCGCCCTTTCAGGACATATTGTAACTAGTAAGTGAAATGGGTAAAGGAGTAGTATGGTACATATTTACATATAAAGGATGTTGACTTTTAATTTTGCTATACTTTAAGACTTAAAGATTATTCCTTCAGTTCTGATTAGAATTCAGCAAGTTGACTCTCTTTTATATGTTTGTATAGGTACTTCTTTAATTTTAGAGAAACAAAATCATTATAAAATTCCATATTAATATAAAACCTATACATACTTGGGTGCGGGCTCTCCTTCAGCCTCACATTCGATGATAAATGGCTTGTCTACTTCACCAGGCTGCGCTACTTGAAACAGAAGCTCTTCCTGTGTAGGTTGCTTCACTATCTTCGGTGGTGATGTTACTGTCCAAAAAAACACAATCATATTCCTGATACATTCTAACTTAACCAATTGAACGATATCATCATCATCAGTCTTAGAATGTCCACTACTGAACATAGGCCTCCTCAAATATAGGTAGATTGGTAGATTTAAATGGCCAAATTTATTTTTAAAGGAAATGTGTATGTTTGTGTGTAGTCATTATTAACTAATCAAGAAACTAAAGGCATTAACAGTCTTAGCCATTCAAAATTACATTAATTTAAAAACCCAGAAGAAATTACATTGAATATGTTTTCTGTTTCAATAAGATAAATTAGGGATTTTTTTTTGTTTGAGGAAATGTAAATAGTACACAGAATAAAGGACCAAACATGACAGAGAGTTACATTATTTTATTAAGAAATCTCTATCGAAAGCTTTTCTTAGATGATACCATTATATCAATAAAAGTTTAATTTTCTATATAAATAATACTCACATAAAGCCGTCGCTTGCGAAACTATCGCGACGAATAACAAAATATTAACTGTGCCCATGGCTCCAACTGTCTTCAGTTCCGTAAATCTAACAAGAAATCAAACAAGCCAGTTTAGATACAGCAAAACACATTTCTCCGGCACACATGTCCAGGCACTCGATGACCTAATCCGAATAAAGCTTGGCCACAATGACAACACCCACTAAAAATAGTAACATCAAAATACACTAAATTAAAGACCTCCCGTTGATTTCAGCGAAAGTTAAAACTTCCTTAGTTTTATCACAGAGCCCTAAAACTTTACGATTGCACTATTTCTGTGAGGAATTTGTATTAGAAACCCGCACTAATACACTGTTAGTTCCAGGTAGAAGGCAAATCAATAATTACGTTTCCCTACTTTTTTATGAAAGATGTTAACAGAGCACGTATTTATAATTGTGTTATTTAAAAAAACAATTACCTATATTCTTATTTATAACAGATTCATCGCGAAAAACAATTAAAATAATGTAATACACGAGCTCAAAGGCGGGGCCTGTAAAAAATCGCTGTTCGCTGCTTCGTTCGTCGTTCGTTCAGCGTCACAGACTACGGAGGGAGGGAGCGGAGAGATGAGTTGACGTTGAGTTGACGTACAGCGTTGACGGTTCAATGCACACTTGCACAGGCTGCGTTCCGGACATAGACCAAACAAGACTGTACCAATCATACGGGACGAGAACAAGATACAAAACATAGTACTTTTATCTCATTCTAATATGAAGATCATAAATATGGTAGTTACAGTACGTATAGCAAGCCCTTACGTGGTGTGCCGTGTGAAAGTGTTCTATGTAAATGAATGTTTAGTGTGCGATATAGTGCTATGAGCGATATGCCTACCAGTAATTATGAAAATAAGTAAGGTAAGAAAATAGGTATAGCGTAGTCTTAACGCATGGTTTTTTTTTGTTTTGGGAATTCAAACATTAAAATATAACTAACATGTTGGAGTCGATTCTGGCATGATTTTCTAAACCAAAACTTAAATGACAGTGCATCCTTATCATTCTCTTTACAAAATTAAAAGGAAAGACTGAGACTGATTTAAAATTAGTTTTATGTTTGGATAATCATGCCAGAATCGACACCATTGTTTGAAGTCTTCTTATTTTCTCAATCAAACCCACAGACTTAGAATTATAAGTCTGTGATCAAACCCTCAAGTTTTAACGAAATGTAGCGGTGGGTCGTTCTCAAATTTTCTGACGACGAATATAAGTGTTCAAAACGATATACGATAATCGACTTTAAGTGTTCAAAAATAAAGATTATTTTATTGTAAACTCAAAGCTTAATTTATTATAGAACGAAACGGCCTCATATCATTGCGTTCTATTATAGACTGTATTTATTTCACTATAAAGTACATTTGCGTGCAGACAATCCGAGGACTAGTTGTTCGACGAAGACTGTTTTGATCCGAAACGTAAAACGGTTCTATCGTCGCGGAACACAAAACGGTCCTTGAAACCAGTTCGTCGTTAGAACGCTCACACCTAACGAAATGCAATAATTAATTTACTACATACAAATAAATGAGTAATTCCGTAAGAAGCCAGTCATTATACAGGATGGCCGGGGAGTTGACGTTCAAGCGTAAACTTTAGATACTTTATGATGAGGAGTATCCAAATCACCCCCATGTATGTTCTACGATTTTGCGTAGTTTTCGAGTTATAATTTTTTTAATGATTTTTTTCGTAATTTTCACCTAACATCAGTTTTCGAATTTTTTCTCATTCTGTTGGACTTTTCTGGTTCAGTTTTTTTGTGATAACTGACTAACATAGTCTAACCCAGCACCTTAAAACTTATGGTTTATCTAGGTATTGCAGAATTCACTTAGAATTTGTTCGAAAGTTCAAAATTACGATTTGAGCTCAGTACACACAAATTTTCAAAGTATCAAAAAAAATGTAAATGAGGGAATTTTACGTTCAAAGTGCTTTTAGAAACTTCCTGAGACATTAAACTTTCAAGCAAGGCCAAATAAAGAAAGGGTTAATGGGAGTTTATTTTCTGTAACTGCCCTTCAAAGTAAATTAAGGCATTTTTCAAGGAAAAAAAATAATTATTTTCTTTTATTTAAATCTTTGCCTATCTCTCAGTTATTATGGATTTGAGAAAAACACAGTTGTTAATGACCTAAATTCTACTACTACTCACTTACTCGTCTTGTTTTGCTGTTTTTTCTCGACCACTATTTGCCTACTGATACCGCCGCTGCTTACTTGTTTAACCCCTGCTTGTTATTGGATTCCGTAGTGCCTGACGATTTGGACTGTAGTTACTTGGAAGTGTTAGTGATGCCCTACACTCTGAGTGAATATGCAGAAATGCATTATTTCTACGGGGATCAACATCAACACCGAGGCGGAGCGCAACCTGATCATTACCCTGACTATCGTGTGTTCATTAATACTCACAATACGTTAACGGCAGGCCGCATTCCTGGCCAACTTGGTGGTGAAGGCATTCAGAGGGTTGATCAGGAATGCAGGGAAATCGTACTGGAAGAAGTGCAACGCAATAGTAGTACAAGTACGAGAGCATTAGCTCGTAACCTTGACATACCAAGATCTTCAATACAGGATATTTTGCGTGAGGAATCATTTCACGCCTACCACATACAAAAAGTACAAGAGTTGCAGCCTTCAGATTATCAATTGAGAGTCGAGTTCTGTAGAACTATGTCGCAGAAAAGGGAAGAAGATCCCGGATACTTTAATAAAATCTTGTGGACCGACGAGTCAAGATTTGAGCGAACTGGGGTTTTCAATATCCACAATTTTCACATTTGGGCCGTTGAAAATCCACATGCCGCCAGACCATCATCATTATAACAGCGTTTTAGCGTTGACATGTGGTCTGGTGTTTTGAATGGTGAATTAATAGGCGCATTTGAACTGCCATCGAGATAAGACGGCGACACATACAAAAGTTTTTTAGAAGACAATCTACCCATATTACTGGAAGATGTAAATCTTGAATTAAGAAGAACGATGGTATTCCAGAACGACGGGGCGCCATGTCATTACGCGACACAAGTGCGTCGCCATTTAGACCAGACCTACCCCAACAGGTGGATTGGACGACAAGGGTCAATTGCCTAGCCACCACGCTCGCCTGACCTCAACCCTATTGATTTTTTTATCTGGAGCTTCTTTAAAGAAATTGCGTACGCCAGAGAAGCTTCGAGTGAAGAAGAACTGAGAGCAAATATTCTCGAAGCTGAAACCACTGTGAAAAATAACCGTAAAGCTTTTAGGCACCTAAAACATAATTTTTTGCGCAGATGTAGATTGTGTATTTCTGTGGGAGGGCAAAATTTTGAAAATTTGCTTTAAATAAATGTATTTTGTTCACAATTTACTGTGTTTTACTCAAATCCATCATAAATCATAGAAAGTCAAAGATTTAAATAAAAAAAATCCTTTGAAAATACCTTAATTTACTTTGAAGGTCAGTTACAGAAAATAAACCCCCATTAACCCTTTCTTTATTTGGCCTTGTTTGAAAGTTTAATGTCTCAGGAAGTTTCTAAAAGCACTTTGAACGTAAAATTCCCCCATTTACATTTTTTTTGATACTTTGAAAATTTGTGTGTACTGAGCTCAAATCGTAATTTTGAACTTTCGAACAAATTCTAAGTGAATTCTGCAATACCTAGATAAACCACAAGTTTTAAGGTGCTGGGTTAGACTATGTTAGTCAGTTATCACAAAAAAACTGAACCAGAAACGTCCAACAAAATGGGAAAAAATCGAAAACTGATGTTAGGTGAAAATTACGAAAAAAATCATTAAAAAAATTATAACTCGAAAACTAAAATCGTAAAACATACATGGGGATGATTTGGATACTCCTCATCATAAAGTATCTAAATTTTACGCTTGAACGTCAATTCCCCGGCCACCCTGTATATAGTCTACCCTTAGGGGCCGTTCAAGTATTACGTAAGCAGATTTATTACAATTATTTACCCCCTCCTCCTCCTTGTCAGTAAAAGTAAGCAAAGTCACATACACGTGAACGCACACACACAGCCTCAGTTTTTCTAATCACGTATACACACACATTGTGCGACAGGGATAGAGAGATGAACTCGCATTGTGGCGTAAGCGTGATGGCAGTAGTTAGTCCCCACCCGCTGGTTATTCCCCGACTCCGAATCGTGTGGTTTAAGATACGGCCAGCAAATAAACAAGGGAAATAAAAATATTTAACTTCTATGAAAATATATATATTTTAAAAGTAATATAACTTACCATTAAATTGTAGTTTCTTTATTTAAAAAAAGGAAAATTTAAAAATCTGAAATCCCCACTGCTTTATATTACTGCAAATATAAACTGAAAAGATAAAAACAAGTCCAGTAGTCTTTTCCGTGTCCGTGATGCTAGCGTACCCACGATCAATATACGGGTTTTCGTTATGCCATTAAATAGTGCGTAAATAGTGCCAAATTAGTGTAAAAATAATAAAAATAGTGCCTCTTTAATTTAAGAAATAAATACCATTTTTACTGTGTACGCTACCATGACGTCAAGCTAGCGTACCCATGGCCGACCCCAAGAACGGCATATATTTAAGCAACGAAATTGACACACAAAAATAGTTCGCAAATAGTGCCCTGGCTTTACAAAATTTCATAATCAATACTCTTAAAGGACCAAAGATATTGAACTAAACATTCTTAGCTGGCGTCAACCTGGCGTACCCATAATAGTTCTCATAGAAAATGAACTTTTCTCGTTATCAATTCTATATGTATAAATAGTGTGTCAAATAGTGCCTCTAACAGTAAAAGTATTTTATGTGAATCCGCATCACAACAATACATAAAGAGGGTGTTAAATTCTAGGAACAAATGTATTGTAGTACAGTTACACACAAAATTAATTTATGCACTAAGAGATTATATATATATGTATTTTTACTAAAATAAATAGGTACTTTTTATAAAAAGATATTATATTTCAATTCGAATTCACCAATCATAAATTCATATAAGAATTTCAACCTACCTACCTACTAAGTACCTTACTTACCTACTATACTACGAAAATATTATCACTTTTGTACATGACTGTACTTCATATATAAAAATAATTTATTTGCTTTTTTTATATTGTTTTACTGCGAATTAACATAAAATACTTTTACTGTTAGAGGCACTATTTGACACACTATTTATACATATAGAATTGATAACAAGAAAAGTTAATTTTCTAGGAGAACTATTATGGGTACGCCAGGTTGATGCCAGCTAAGAATGTTATGTTCAATATCTTTGGTCCTTTAAGAGTATTGATTATGAAATTTTGTAAAGCCAGGGCACTATTTGCGAACTATTTTTGTGTGTCAATTTTGTTGCTTAAATATATGCCGTTCTTGGGGTCGGCCATGGGTACGCTAGCTTGACGTCATGGTAGCGTACACAGTAAAAATGGTATTTATTTCTTAAATTAAAGAGGCACTATTTTTTTTATTTTTACACTAATTTGGCACTATTTACGCAGTATTTAATGGCATAACGAAAAACCGTATATTGATCATGGGTACGCTAGCATCACGGACACGTCTTTTCCTCCGTAAGTCTATCATTCTGTCAAGTAAGGGACAAAGATAAATCGTTGTAGATCCTAAACAGTCATATAAAATAAAAGATGTTGTAAGGAACCTAAATATGATTTTCGATTATCTAGACAATGATACCCCACTCGACCTATCTCGTCAACTTATTTTTTTTAGTTACAATGGTGTCGATTCTGGCATGATTCTCTAAATCTAAACTTAAATTTGACAACAGTGTATCCTTGTCGTTCTCTATATAGAATGAAAAGGAGAGACTGATGTTAAATTTAATTTTAAGTTTAGAGAATCTCGATAGAATCGACACTAATATTTTTTTAAGCATTTAATTATTTGATGTTTAAATCTTAAGAAATTATAACTAGAAAAAAATCCACG